TCGGCGGCGAATCGCCGTTACTCGCGGATGACGTCGGCGTCGTCGTCGTCGTTGTCGTCGTCACCGCCGCCGACGCCGCCGCCGCCGCCGTCGTCGTGGTGCTTGCCGTGCCGTCGGAGGCAGCGGGCGAGCAACGCCCGGCGCCGATTGGTCCAGCGGCACTTTTGAAGGCGGGATCAGGAGCCAACGCCGGAAAAACGACAAAAACGAGGAGCGGGAGGATTTAACCTATAGTCTCCACGTTTGATGCGGCGCTTCGTCGCGACGACGGGCGTCGCGATGACGCGCCTGCGCCGACCCCTTCGGGGTGGGAGATGCCAGGCGTCATCTCCCACCTCGCAACAATCTGGACCAAACTACCCCTACAGAAGGGAGACACTTTCGCGGGGAACGACGACTATCTGAGCATCGTTGCAATTGTTGATCGTTGGCTATACGACGGCGAAGCTCTCTTTGCCGGGTCGCTTCGGCGTCGGTTCGTCTGGATAAAAAGTGACGATACGCTAAATAGCAGGAGGGTCCTTTGATCCATCGTGAATTAATCGAATCTAGCTGGGATTGAGGTTGAATGGAGATGCAAACATTTTAAAGTAGAACTTGATGATTATAATTAATTTTTTTATAGCATTTTAAATAGTTTTTAGACTTTTAAATATTTTATTAAAAAATATAATCTATTTTTGATCTAATATATAACAAGAGAGAAAGAATCCCATTTGATAATTTACTGAAGCAAAAAATTGAGTTATTAGAACATCATATATTTACACATTTTATTTGTAAAATATATCTATAATTAACATTGAAAAAATATAAACTAATTAATATTTTTTAACATATTAACGTGTATATATTTTAACGTATTATATTTGTCAAAAAAATCCAAATTTATATTGTCTAACAATGAATAGCTTCCTCCTTCCCCAAACAATCCAGCAAAGAGAAAATCTCAGGTGATACGATTTTCGTCGTTATCGCCAAAGAATCAACATTCAAAAGGAGTCGTTAACGGAGCGATTAATCGACCGCGATCGAACTTTCGATTCCTGAAGTGATCCCCCGAACAAATCGAGCGAGATCCAGGAAAGTGGGTGCGGGTAATCGGTAACGACCGACGCCGGGCGTCGTTGTGGTGGTTGGCAGTGGGTGAGAGCTCGGCGGCGCCTAAGGGGTTGTTGTCGGGTCGCCGCCATGCTGGATTCCTGCCGTACCCCGATTGCCTTCTGGTAATCGTTGCCAGGGATGCAACAACCCCTTCCTCCCCTACTAAACCGGCGTCGCCACGCCCCGTGGATCGCAGATGGACCAATGATGTCGGGACGTCGCGATGCCGGCGTCCACCAATAGGATTACCCTCTGATACGCTCTTTCGCTTGTCAGTGACTGCTGCGCGTCGCCCCCGAGCCCCCCGGCCTCAATCCCCACGCGCCCCCTTCCCCCCGCGCGAGACTGGATGCCTTTCAATTTCGGGCTCGCGGCCTCATAAACGCAGCCAACCACCCATCCACCCGCGCTGCAGGGATGGCTTGGGGCGACAGGGGATGCAAACACACAACCATCGAGTTACTTGTCGTCGACGTGATGGTGTGCGTGGGTACGCAGACAATCGCAATTCGGGGTACAAAGCCGCGTGGAAAGTCGGGGATGAGTAGCGGGGGTGTGCGCGCGCCCGCGCTCGTTCTGGTACATGGGAATGCGCGTTATGGGACGGCAAGGTGGATTGGGGTGTGTACAGCGGTAGAAACGGTACAGTGACGCCGATCAATCATTTGAATATGTTGTAAGGGAAATGTTTACATTATATAAAGATATGTGTTTACCAAAAACTTAAAATTATATATTCTTTGCATCTCTTTGCATCTGATATAGGCTTATGGCTTAAATATCGTAATACATATATGATACAAACACACAATTAAAAACATGATAAAAATTATTAAATTTTAATTTAATTTTCTAAACTTATAAAATATTCCTGCTTTTTAATTTTAGATATCTCGTCATAAAATATTTGATTTTGAGTTGGATGCAGAATTAATTTTCAATATTACATTTACGTATTATCAGGAAAATATTTAAGCTTTATTCAGTTTATTGTTTCCTTGTCTTAACAATTTCTGTATATTTTTTTTTTGCTCTATTTATTACGATAAATATCCAAGAAATGGAAAATGTAAAAATTGGACATTGTTTCTTAATTTCTTAAAACAAAATATGTCATTTACTTTGTGTGGATTTAATTTGATTTTATATTGGAATTTATGTTACATAAATTTTACCATAGTAAAATTAAAATGTTTACAGATTTTTGCGACATTTTTAAAATAAATTTAAATAGTATAATTCTTATCAAATGATTAAAGTTTTTGAAAATACAATCATTTCAATATGTATACGATCAATTTCTTATCATAGAAACTGAGTATTTGCGAGATATCCATCAAACTCGCGTTTGTCTCGTTTAATGCCACGCTAGAAAGTAGAACGAGCAGCGAAGAGGAAGTTGCTCCCTCGATGAATATCTCAAAGGGGATGCTCCGATCGGTGCGCACATCTCAAGCATCACCCCGCAAATTTACACACCTATGGTTTCTTAGCGCGTCTTTGTGCAATGTTCCTTAGATGAACGTTATTTTCATGCATGTGATAAAGACGGATGTGTGTCGCTCTATATGAGTTCTCAGAAAAAGAACCTTTTTTAGCACAGATACCCACGTAACGCGAGATTATACGCCAAGATTCTGCTGAATAAAAAGATTATGACCTTCGATATAATAACGATATTTAATAGCAAAGGGGCTTCTTTTGCATAGGAAATGATAAAAATGTAATGGTTTTTATAAAAATGTTATATTGGTTTATGTTATATCATATTAGAAGGCTTTTCAGAATATAAACTTGATATAATCGGCATCATTTTTAAACAAATTGGATAGTAAAATTAAATTATAAAAAAATAATGCGATACAAAAATTTCCTGTGACAATAATAATTTTATATAGAAATGTATGTAGATATAAAAATGTATATAGATATAAATATTACATACAGCTTTTGCAAAAATTTTTATAATTTAATTATATTTATGGATATATTATATGAGAGATATAATTTGTCAACGTGTTGATCATTTTGAATAATTCACACTCTCTTATACATATCATATAATGATAATTTATCGGTGGTGAATAAAAACGAACGCGATCTTTTCATTGCTTAGTGTTTAATCCATTGTTACCGTTGTTCACCCTTAGCGTATCCACCTTTGCCCACATTCCGAGTGTTGATATATTGAAACATGTAAATCAGGCTCGACGTTTAAAAATAAATAGATTTCCAGAAATAAATTTTGTGATATCTGACTAATTGATCACGTAGATGATATTAAAGTTATTTTTCTCTTTTTATACTCTGCCTGTTTGTTGTAATATATTTATTGTAATGGTAATTATAATTTCTGTACATACACATATAATGATTATTTTAATATTTATGTAGCATGTGCAAAGCACAATTTTTGTAATTCAAGAGTGTGAAACTCCATCAATTATATTATTATATAATTTTACATGATAATTGACACTGATCAAGTATTGCTAGTTCAACACAACACGTGTCAACGAATAAACTCTAATTGACCGCTTTCACTGTAGACGTGCTCGGAAAATTCTTCAGGACGTTATCGATCGCGTTGCAAATATCTTCGAAAACTTCCGTTCTTAATTTCTTAAAACAAAATATGTCATTTACTTTGTGTGGATTTAATTTGATTTTATATTGGAATTTATGTTACATAAATTTTACCATAGTAAAATTAAAATGTTTACAGATTTTTGCGACATTTTTAAAATAAATTTAAATAGTATAATTCTTATCAAATGATTAAAGTTTTTGAAAATACAATCATTTCAATATGTATACGATCAATTTCTTATCATAGAAACTGAGTATTTGCGAGATATCCATCAAACTCGCGTTTGTCTCGTTTAATGCCACGCTAGAAAGTAGAACGAGCAGCGAAGAGGAAGTTGCTCCCTCGATGAATATCTCAAAGGGGATGCTCCGATCGGTGCGCACATCTCAAGCATCACCCCGCAAATTTACACACCTATGGTTTCTTAGCGCGTCTTTGTGCAATGTTCCTTAGATGAACGTTATTTTCATGCATGTGATAAAGACGGATGTGTGTCGCTCTATATGAGTTCTCAGAAAAAGAACCTTTTTTAGCACAGATACCCACGTAACGCGAGATTATACGCCAAGATTCTGCTGAATAAAAAGATTATGACCTTCGATATAATAACGATATTTAATAGCAAAGGGGCTTCTTTTGCATAGGAAATGATAAAAATGTAATGGTTTTTATAAAAATGTTATATTGGTTTATGTTATATCATATTAGAAGGCTTTTCAGAATATAAACTTGATATAATCGGCATCATTTTTAAACAAATTGGATAGTAAAATTAAATTATAAAAAAATAATGCGATACAAAAATTTCCTGTGACAATAATAATTTTATATAGAAATGTATGTAGATATAAAAATGTATATAGATATAAATATTACATACAGCTTTTGCAAAAATTTTTATAATTTAATTATATTTATGGATATATTATATGAGAGATATAATTTGTCAACGTGTTGATCATTTTGAATAATTCACACTCTCTTATACATATCATATAATGATAATTTATCGGTGGTGAATAAAAACGAACGCGATCTTTTCATTGCTTAGTGTTTAATCCATTGTTACCGTTGTTCACCCTTAGCGTATCCACCTTTGCCCACATTCCGAGTGTTGATATATTGAAACATGTAAATCAGGCTCGACGTTTAAAAATAAATAGATTTCCAGAAATAAATTTTGTGATATCTGACTAATTGATCACGTAGATGATATTAAAGTTATTTTTCTCTTTTTATACTCTGCCTGTTTGTTGTAATATATTTATTGTAATGGTAATTATAATTTCTGTACATACACATATAATGATTATTTTAATATTTATGTAGCATGTGCAAAGCACAATTTTTGTAATTCAAGAGTGTGAAACTCCATCAATTATATTATTATATAATTTTACATGATAATTGACACTGATCAAGTATTGCTAGTTCAACACAACACGTGTCAACGAATAAACTCTAATTGACCGCTTTCACTGTAGACGTGCTCGGAAAATTCTTCAGGACGTTATCGATCGCGTTGCAAATATCTTCGAAAACTTCCGTTTCGTCGTTCTCGCCGTTGATGATCACCAGTTGTTTTTTGTAATACCTAAGGACGGGTTTGATCATTTTGTCGTAGTCTTTGATTCGCTGCAAATTTTCATCGAAGCTACGGCTCTGTCGCTGGGTGGCGGTGATGGCTCTGGCTAAGATCCTATCCATCAGCAGCGAATCCCTGACGTACAGGTACAGGACGAGATCCGGCGGCCGGATATGCACGTTGAAATGCTTACACTGTGCTTTCTCCCGGGGAAATCCACTCAGCAAAAAACCCCGCGACGTATTCAAGCTGCTCAGCATCCTTGCTTTGATGAGCTCCACCATGACATCTGCGGGAACTAGTTTACCGTCAGATATCAGATAGGCCAGAATAGCGCCTCTCTGTGAACCGGTAGCTACTTCGTTGCGCAGCAATTCTCTGGTTATAATAGTGCAAAAACCGTAATGCTCTGCTACTCGTGTACACTGTGTTGCTGCAGGGGAAGAGAGAGAAATTGTTCCTAAATTATATTATTTTTTAATCTAATCAAGCAATAAAAATGCATTATTAATTTGTTAATATTTATTTTATGCTAATATATGTATGAAAATATTATATAATATACAATTATCATCATAATATACAATGGTTTAGTTAAAATTATAGTACAGTATATTCTATAAGTTTGGCGAACTCTTTTTTTCTGTTGTATAATATCTTTAATAACTAGGAGAATTTATCAATGACCGCAAAAAACAGATTGATTTTACTAATTGATAATTTTAAAGTATCTATTTTTTAATATCGTAAATGTGAAAAGTCAACGAACATTTTCCTGCTCCTGGACCTCCAATCAAGAAAATAATCGGCAATTTTGATTCCTTAATCGTTGAAACATCGAGCTCGTCGCTTCTTGGAATCAAAGCACTCAAAGGATCGACGGGCCTTACACAGTTGAGACCCATTTTTACAAATATTATTGTAATAATAATTAAAATATAATATTATTAAAAATAATATTATGCTCTATTTTATATGTAAGCGAAATTATACAAATAGCAAAGTTTGTACTTTCAACACGACATATTAAGAATCTTGAAGTTGAAGCTCTCTAAATATGTAATACGTAATGCTAGAAAAGTATCGATTTCTCTCTCTAAATAATCGTGAACATAGGAGCAATATGATATTACGGAAAAATCTATAGTAAATTCATAGTTTTTGACGGCTTTTATAATTATGCTTATTCAAAATTTTGTTATCATTTAGAATATAATTTTACTATACAATGATTACGCATTTACTATACGGCGACTTGTATTACGGTTAAAGTAATCATCCACATTTTCGATCGTTGGTAATTTGCTTCACTCTCAGGAAGAAAATATGTGGTAGTGATTATTTAGTTTTTTATTTATTATAAATATGTTTTTTATTTTACTTTGATATTATTTATTTTTATTCTATGAAAATTTTGTATAAAATGCAATTAATTTTTTTTTCCTAATTTATTTTATATGAAAAAAATATTAACTTATTTTAATTTCATTTTTGATACTTCACAATTATGTTTTTTACTTGATATATACTAATAATATTAAGAACAATAATTTATTAAGAAAATAAATATTTTTTGTGCGATATATATACGTATGTGTTATACATTTTACAGTAGAAATTTTCGTCGATCTTTTCATCAAGTCACAAAATGTACAATGCCATCAGGCTGATTCGCAAATCTCTTCAGAAAATCGAACAGCGGAGATGTATGACTTTTAATCGTACGAAGAATGAGCATCCCATGAAAGAACGCGAGGAATTAAAGTACATTCGAAGATGTCGAGTTGCTATCGTCGGTCTTGGCGGAGTCGGCAAGTCCTTGGCACACTTGTTGAAGACATATCCAGGTGGTCTTACCGAGCTTCGACTTTGCAATCGAAGCGATCCAGAGGGAATCGTAGAAGAGCTAAATCATATACCTACAAGATTGCCAGTTCGAGGATTTAAGGGTATAGATAGGCTGCCCTTGGGCTTACAAAACGCCGATTTAGTCATCGTGACTGCAGGAGTGGCCAGAAGACCTGGCATGCAAAGAAGGCAACTGTTCACGGTAATTATAACGATATTTTAATCTATTATATTTTATACATATTTTTTTGTTATAATAAATATTTTGAAATTTATGTTAATTTTTTTTTGAATTTATTACTATACTTATCATTATATAGAAGACACCATATGAATAGGGGGGGGGGGGGAAGTACGTGATGCTAGAGTGCAATTTTTTTCTACAAATAAAACTGAAAAAATTATTTTCCCTTATTTTTTCATTTAGTCTATATTTAATCGTTTATGTAATAAAGAATTGTAAAATGTCACTGTTGTACAAAATAATTTTATTTTGACTTGAAGTTTTCCTTTTGAAATATAATGACAGTGTGAGAATTACTGTTATATATATTATTATTAATCTCTTTATTAGATTAATTAAAATATTAGACTTAATTTAACATGTAACCTTCCACGAAGACTTTTTATTCACGTATACTTACATCAATCGCTATAGGAAAATGCTGCAATCTGCAGAGATATAATCAATATCTGCGCAGACAGATGTCCTGATGCTCTGATAGCCATAGTAACGAATCCTTTGGACTCGATGGTGCCAGTTGCGGCGGCAGTCTTAAAGAAACGCGGGGTTTATCGGCCTGAAAAGCTCTTTGGCGTCTGTCAGATCGACCAGATGCGAGCGGGACGTTTCTACGCGGAGGCCATTGGACAGGAACCGAGAAAGACTTACGTTCCTGTCGTGGGTGGTCACGCGGAGAACACTACAGTTCCTTTATTTTCTAAAGCGAGACCGAATGTTCCTTTGACGGAGGAGGAAACCAGAACTTTGATCCAGCTTGTACGAAATGCTGGAAAAAAGGTCGTTCAAGTAAGAGATAAAATTATTTTATAAATAAATTTTAAAAAATTTGTTTTTGTTATATATAAATATATATTTTTTTACCGTGTACATAATTAACAATAATAAAATTTAATGTTATATGTTTAGTATGTGATCAGATTTAAAATAAGGCTTTTTTTTTACAGAATAAGATTTATTGAATCGACATACAACTATTCAGATATGTATGTTGCTCACTTAGGCAAAGAAGGGGGCAGGCGGGTCTACGTATTCAATGGCATCAGCGACGTTGAACTTCGTTCATAAATTATGCCGTGCCATTCATCACGAGCCGCATGTGATCCTTTCCGCTTATGTAGAGTCAACGGTGACTAGCGCGCGTTTTTTCTCCAACGAATTGCTACTCGGACCACGTGGCATTCACAGGAATCTCGGATACGGTACAGTCACAAAGTTCGAACAAGATCTAATTGACGAAGCAGTGATAGTCCTTCAGCGAGATATTGCATTGGCCGATGATTTCATCAAGAAGAATGTATAAAGTGATTTATAAAAATGAAGCTACTTCATTACTGAACAGATAGATAAATATATTTTTAATATATAGATATAATCTTTGGATATGCTTAAGTTTGATGCGATTTTCAACTTATTTATCTTTTTTAGTACTTTTCTATGATTTGTACATTTATTAAAGTTAATAGTATTACATATTTTTAATAATGTATAAAATGAAATTTAAATCATTACAAAGTACACGTGTAACATCCTTTTTTTACTTGTAAATACCCTTATACACACAGAATAGTCATAATTTCAATATCTATAATATAAATATTTATAATCCAATAGGTGTCCTCAATTAATTTTTAGTAAATAAAATAGTAAAAAGATAAATACAGGATTAGCTACAAAATAACTTTTTTTTATTAAATAAAAAACGTTATTTAATGTTGCAAATCTAAGATTCGATGAAGTATATTTACATTATTTAACTGATATATTAAGAACAATACATATATATGAGAACTTATTGATATTAAATTTCATTTCTAAATGTTAGATAATATTTAGATATATTATTTTACGATTTGTGAATTCTAAAATTCACTATTTCATAAAATATTATGGCAAATATTTAGAATGTTATTATACGTGTAAATATTGCAATTATCTTCAATTACTACAGTTGCACCATGCCGCGTTAGAAATTGCGAGATATGCAACTAACGAGATAATCGACTAATCAGAATTGGAATAAAAATCAACATGCTAGTATTATGTTATCGTGACAAAAAGTTGCATAGTTGCTGCAAGGCTTCCGCAGTCTAGGTCATAACTCGTAACAATACGTCGTCATTGTAAAATATGAACCGGATTCTGGATCAGGCCGTAATTTTCCAAATAATACAGGTCTCGGTTCATAGGTCGAATGCATCGATCCGGAAGGGCTGATATTATCTCCTGAAACGGAAATTGTATATGTGCGCATTTCGCCGTCCGCGAAAGGTTTTGCCAATTTCGTCGTATTCCCGATGACGCAATGACGTAATTTATTTGTCACCCGGGGCAACACTCGGTACAGAAATAAAAAGTAAAAGTGAAAGCTTTATAGCCCTCGTAGCCCTTGAACCAAAGATTATACATCAGAAATTGTTATATCGACTTAATTATTAAAAAACATTAACACTGATATTGAAAAACATTAACACTGAATGTTTTTCCACTAATAATTATCAAAATTTAACCATTATTAAAACAATTGTAAAAAACACTAAAATCCTTGCGAGTTAATGTATTGCAATTTAAATTATGCTTTTATTTTTTTTTGCAATAAAAAAGATGATATTACAATTTACTTTTAAAAAGAGTAGGTAAACAAAAATAAAAATAAAAATGTATTATTTTTTTTTCTTACAAGCTCTACTTTGTCATAAATATATTCTATCAGTAATCTATCAGTAATCTAATAATAAGTTGAAAATAATAAGTTAAAAAAAATATAAATGTGCTGGATAATTTTTTCTTGAGTTGGAAACACTCTCTTAAAAAAAGAAAACGTGCAGGGTTGTATCCTCCTTGAAAAGGAAAATAATTCTGCTTTATCAAGCAAAGTATAACTTTAATGTGCTACGTTTGATTGCCGCTTGTTAATTAGCGGTCGCAATATATCGTAGAGTGAAATATTTTAAATATATTTGTTAGAGGAAATTAGCGTTATTTTGACACAAACTAGATTACGACGTTAGATCACGATTAAAAAGCATTTACAGACACAGCGGATTGCGAAGAGTGACGTATGACTCGACCGCTGCCTCGTTAAAAGCGCGGAATTACAAGCTGGAATTATGCGTAAATCTGTCCGCGCGCGCGCGTGTGATCTGGCTGTCTTTAAATATCGGCGCCAGTGGCACTCGACTGCACAATTCACCGGGCAAGTCGCAGCAAGTTTCTGAATCTGAATCTTTACGAGGGATTTGCGAATTAATAATAGATCCTGTGAAGAAAGAAAGGAGGGATAAGAGGGAGGGAGCTCCAATTTATGCGTTTACGATCGCGTTTCTCTCCACATTATTCTAATATCAATTTATTTCATTTAAATCGATTACATTTGATCGTGCATTAATAATTCTTTAAAAAAAATCATCTTTTTATATTTATTATAAAAGGATTAATCCGTTTAAATAAGCTCTATCTATTTTGTTCCGTAATAATTTTTGCATCATAAAAAGTTCTTTTTATTTATATTTAAGAAAGTATTGTTTCGTAAATTTCTTGTTTATTTACTATTTTATATTAAATTATTTTGGTGATTATAAAATCATTTCTTCATATAGAGCAAAATTAATTTCGCAAGAACAAAGTAATCTCGTATTACTATATATATTGATGTAGTATGTTTAATTGTGCATTAACTTTCTAAATAGTTTTTTTCATATTAATTTAGACGAACGATTTATCTCAATTGAAAGAGTCGTAGATATCCAGAATTCCTCAAACGTTCGGATAATTCAAAATACAATCTCAACAAATTCCTGTTTTCTAAATTGCCTAATTAAGATAGATGACATTAGAATGCGGAGGGAAATTTCTCATTTTGTCGATAGAATCATAAGCGTATCCTTTGCGCAGGTGATGATAAGAGAACAGGTTCAGTAGCGGTATTTAAGAGGCTAGAAAGGGAGGAACTTGGCGATAGCACGTTAATCACGGTGGTATCGTCGCATTAGCGATAACGCGAAATTATCACGAGGCATGATTCTCATGAATCAAGCCTCGACGAGTAACCGTCGGTTTTATTGAGAAGCAATCGCTGGTTTCGGGTCGCGGAAAAAGCGTTATTAAACGAACAAATCGTGGAAGGGAAAATCCCATTTTGCAAAATGGTAATATTAAATAGAGATTATATAATACATCGCGACGTTTAACGAAGCGACGTTCAACGTCACGTAGATCGCAATTATAAATTCCCACGCAGCTTATCGCTGCATTTCCGCGCGGCGGAAACTTTACGTGTTATCAAGACCTTATTCTGCCATAATCAATGATCAGAATGAAGATAAATTGTCAAGCGAGTCGAGGTTTAGTTTGGAATCCCTCGGATACGATCTCAATCTAGCGCACTATCTAGCTTTTATTAAATTTATGCGTTTATGTGTTAACTTTATAGTTATTCCGCTCGTTAATCCGCGCGTTTGCAAAATGCTCATCGTTTATTGCCAGCATACATATGTAAACGCAAGTTTAGTGAAGCAAGTAGAGAGATATATGTTACTACTAATTTTTCTTTATTTAGCTTCCAGATAGGGAACGTTAATTAGCTGACTTGTTTATTGTACCTTCTGCGATTTATATATTGTGTTAATGTACGCATTAATGACATTTTTTTTCGCATTAAAGTTGTACTGTATTATTTGCACCATAATCTTTAGCAATATTCGCATTGCAACACCGTCTAATGTACAAACTGAGTTTGTACATTACTAGACTTGTGAGAATGTCGTAGATATGGGTGCAACTAGGACTGGGAGTTGAGAACTCAGCGCTAATGGCAAGTAAATTTTTTCAGAAATGGCCGATTACAAGACACTCTTTGCCGTTGATTTATGACATCATTATTTTATGCTGAAAGAAAGTATTGTTTCGTAAATTTCTTGTTTATTTACTATTTTATATTAAATTATTTTGGTGATTATAAAATCATTTCTTCATATAGAGCAAAATTAATTTCGCAAGAACAAAGTAATCTCGTATTACTATATATATTGATGTAGTATGTTTAATTGTGCATTAACTTTCTAAATAGTTTTTTCATATTAATTTAGACGAACGATTTATCTCAATTGAAAGAGTCGTAGATATCCAGAATTCCTCAAACGTTCGGATAATTCAAAATACAATCTCAACAAATTCCTGTTTTCTAAATTGCCTAATTAAGATAGATGACATTAGAATGCGGAGGGAAATTTCTCATTTTGTCGATAGAATCATAAGCGTATCCTTTGCGCAGGTGATGATAAGAGAACAGGTTCAGTAGCGGTATTTAAGAGGCTAGAAAGGGAGGAACTTGCAAGTTAAACGTTAATCACGGTGGTATCGTCGCATTAGCGATAACGCGAAATTATCACGAGGCATGATTCTCATGAATCAAGCCTCGACGAGTAACCGTCGGTTTTATTGAGAAGCAATCGCTGGTTTCGGGTCGCGGAAAAAGCGTTATTAAACGAACAAATCGTGGAAGGGAAAATCCCATTTTGCAAAATGGTAATATTAAATAGAGATTATATAATACATCGCGACGTTTAACGAAGCGACGTTCAACGTCACGTAGATCGCAATTATAAATTCCCACGCAGCTTATCGCTGCATTTCCGCGCGGCGGAAACTTTACGTGTTATCAAGACCTTATTCTGCCATAATCAATGATCAGAATGAAGATAAATTGTCAAGCGAGTCGAGGTTTAGTTTGGAATCCCTCGGATACGATCTCAATCTAGCGCACTATCTAGCTTTTATTAAATTTATGCGTTTATGTGTTAACTTTATAGTTATTCCGCTCGTTAATCCGCGCGTTTGCAAAATGCTCATCGTTTATTGCCAGCATACATATGTAAACGCAAGTTTAGTGAAGCAAGTAGAGAGATATATGTTACTACTAATTTTTCTTTATTTAGCTTCCAGATAGGGAACGTTAATTAGCTGACTTGTTTATTGTACCTTCTGCGATTTATATATTGTGTTAATGTACGCATTAATGACATTTTTTTTCGCATTAAAGTTGTACTGTATTATTTGCACCATAATCTTTAGCAATATTCGCATTGCAACACCGTCTAATGTACAAACTGAGTTTGTACATTACTAGACTTGTGAGAATGTCGTAGATATGGGTGCAACTAGGACTGGGAGTTGAGAACTCAGCGCTAATGGCAAGTAAATTTTTTCAGAAATGGCCGATTACAAGACACTCTTTGCCGTTGATTTATAACATCATTATTTTATGCTGATTTACAAGGAAATGAATCTGAGCGATATAGTCCGTAATCGCGCAGTGCGCATTTCTCGCAGTATTTAAAAAGCCATCTATAACATGCCACACCTAAGGGGTTAATCGGTACGTGATTGCGAAATTTTCGCGTTTCTGCAGTTAATAATGGCTGTAATAATGGTTGCAAAAATTTCGCTCTTCCCATCAATTACGCAACAGAATACACGGACGCACAGATCAGCGCCTAATATTAAACCGTTGCTCATTGCGCGGTGGTGAAGCGGATTTTGCCGATAAGTTATGCACGTACCAGATGCCATTAACGCGAATGAATTGCGCGTTTATTTCCGCACGTTAATAAATAACAGTCTCCTTGGGAATCTCGGAAAAAAAAATTGGAGCGTTGCATGCCGGGCCGATATAATATTTCTCAAAGTTGCACAATGCGAGTTCGAAGAGACACGATCGTCTCTGCCGAGACAGACAAACGACGACATTGATCGCGGTGTTTTATCGGGTATAATTAATAAAGCAAACGGTACGATTTTACGCATAAAATACGAATTCCTTCCTCAAAATAATTTACTCGCAGAATTGAAGCGTTATTCATTCGTAAGCTAATATATTTGCAACGCATCGAATCGATCGAAGCTCGCGTTTGCAAAGCGATAGCTTATGCTTGTAGGCACGTCGTTCAATGCTCTTAAACCATCGATCGTTATCGCCTGAATCGAGTAATTATGACGCAACATTAATGATCGTGATGAATGGTGTCATCAAGTCAATGACACTGCGAGTGGTGCCGGCAAAAAAGCAGGTAGCTATACGAGTCGAATGTAATTAGCTCCACTTGCCACGCTATAATCATCATATTACATCAAAATATTGCGTGGTATTTGAATCGTATGTCGCGGAAAGATCTGATAGATATTTAAATCTTGTTAATTATCGTCATTATGCTAAGATGACTATAATAAAGTAACTTAAACGGAGGCTTTATCATAATCGTTACTGTATGCTAATAAAATTACTTACACCAATTTTTTCTCCCTGATTACATTTTCTTAATCACAGTGTTCTTAAACATTTTTTTTAAATGCATATTATACACACACATACATTTTTATATTTTAGTGCAATTAATATACAAATATCTTTTTAAATATATAATTTTTTAATTTAAAGTAACATAAAACGTATTTACATTATTTTATAAAGAAGTAAAAACGTTTGTAAAATACACTGTAAAATAGTTAGTCAGCTCTTTCAGCATTATTTTTATCACGATATTTCGAATGACTTAAAATATTGAATATTGATTTTGTGTGAGAAAATGTCTTGCATCTATTTGCATTTTGACGATGGGTCTTTCCAAAACGATGAGTCCCGTCGTTCCGCGGAAGGATAAATTATCGTATGAAAATTATTTCTTGTACTTTGACAGTGTGATCGAGAGGATGACTCGATATATTTATTTATACCTCGCGTGAGCGAACGTAGCGGAGGCTGATGAACGACGATGATATAAGATGCACTCCGGACGCACTCCTTACTCTAGGAACGCAGCAATTTAGTGATATCAGCCGACGGGCCGGTGTGGCTAATTCTATCTACGTAGCGCCCCACTCGATAATTTGCTCGGGCAAACTTATTAGATCGCCACCGGGCTGGCCGCTAATTACAGACTGTTCATACGGACGCATCTAGGCTGCAAACGAGATGTTAAGTTACTCTGGCGAAAGTCGACCGGCTTATCAATGTCAGCTGCTGTCATCGCTTCTCTCTAAAACCGCTTAAAGTACTAGGTTTCTCGATTAATTACGATATCTCCCTTCCCATACATACACAGCACTCTTGAATTTAAATATAATTTAGAAACTGATTTATCGATGTAAATCAGTGCTTTCCAACATTGCATTTTAAGAAACATGTCAAAAAGGATAACAAGTTGATAGTAAATAATATATAAACAAATGCATTTGTGTAAAAAGAGAACTTTCTCTCGATTTATTTTTTAAAATAAATAATCTAAAGAGAGCAAGTCAATAGCCGATCACATATCGTATTATAATGTTTCGCGGCAACAATTTGACGTACAATCGGTTGCATCTTCTCCTTTTGCTCTCTCAAGAAAATACAATATATATATATATAT